GATGGAGGGATGGAGGGATGGATGGATGGGGGATGGGTGGGTGGGTGGATGGATGGGTAATGGATGGATGGGGGGATGGATGGATGGATGATGGATGATGAATGGATGGAGGGAAGGATGGATGGATGACAGATGCAGGGAGAGATGGATGGATGGGGATGGATGGATGGATAGATGCGGGATGAATGGATGGAGGGAGGGAGGGATGGATGGAGGGAGGGATGAATGGATGGGGGATGGATGGATGGAGGATGGATGGATGAATGGGGGATGGATAGAAGGAGGGATGGATGGATGGACAGATGGGGGATGGATGGTTAGATGGCAGATGGATGGATGGAGGGATGAGGGATGGATGGATGGATGATAGATGGGGATGGATGGATGGATAGGTGGGGGATGGATGGATGGGGATGGATAGATGGAGGGATGGATGGGATGGATGATAGATGGGGATGGATAGATGGAGGGATGGAGGGATGGATGATAAACAGGGGATGGATGGATGGATGGGGATGGATAGATGGAGGGATGGATGATAAACGGGATGGATGGATGGATGGGAGATGGATGGATGGAGGGAGGGATGGATGATAGATGGGGGATGGATAGATGGAGGGATGGAGGGATGGATGATAAACAGGGGATGGATGGATGGGGATGGATAGATGGAGGGATGGAGGGATGGATGATAAACGGGATGGATGGATGGATGGGAGATGGATAGATGGAGGGATGGAGGGAGGGATGGATGGAGGGAGGGAGGGAGGGATGGATGGGGGATGGATGGATGGATGATGGATGGATGGAGGGAGGGATGGGTGGATGATGGATGGATGGAAGGAGGGATGGATGGATGAGGGATGGATGGAGGGAGGGATAGATGGATGGGGGATGGATGGAGGGAGGGATGGATGGATGGATGGGGGATGGATGGACAAATGGATAGATGGGGGATGGATGGATGGATGGATGGAGGGATGGATAGATGGATGGGGGATGGATGGATAGATGGGGATGGATGGATGGATGGATAGATGGGGATGGATGGATTGATGGATGGGGGATGGATGGATAGATGGATGGGGGATGGCTAGATGGAGGAATGGATAGATGGACAGATGAGGGATGGATGGATGGATAGATGGGGGATGGATGGATGAATGGAGGGATGGGGGATGGATGGATGGATGGATAGATGGGGGATGGATAGATGGAGGGATAGGAAATGGATGGCTGGGGGATGGTGGAAGGAGGGGTAGATGATATATAGAGGGATGGATGGACAGATGGATAAAAATGACAGAATTTTTGCAGCTTGGGGACTTTGAGACTAGGCTCATTGTACCTGACAGTGTTTCTCCGGGGCAATGTCTGGACCCTGCGTTTCACAGGGGCTGGGCTGAACATGCCACTTCCAGAACAGTCCAGCGCTAAGGCCTCTGGAGGCGTTCTATTTTGGGAGACCAGGCAGCCAAGTATTTGAACACAAGAGGACCCAGAACTGCCCACACCACCACATCTGGGATCCCCCCGCCCCAGGGGAGGCTAAAGCAAGCAGAGGGACACCGACCACTGCCACACAGGAGGTCTTTGGACTCCAAGCTCTGTCCAGGCCTCAGCATTCTGCAAGAGAACACCACGCTGCCCCTACGTGTCCCAGGCAACACCCAGAGATGTGGAAGGAAGAGACGCTGCGCGGACTTCTCTTTTTACAAAGACTTTATTGTCTGACATGCTTGACAAAAAAAAAAAAAAAAAATTACAGCCACAATCAAGTTATGCCAAAATGATTGAGAAGCACGCCGTCATCTTCATATCTCAAGGACTTTTAATGAATTTTCTCTTAAAGTAACAGCTGCCTTCATAACTTTTCTTTTCCACATAAAAATACACCATATTCTGAAGATACCTTAGGAAAAAAATTTTTTTAAGTTTATAGCTCTTGGTCCACACAGAAATTGAGTGGAGCTGGCACTGAAAGGGCTTGCTTTTCTCCACCGCACACATGTCCCGCGCCTGGGGCATCAGAGAGACCTCGTAAACATCCCCGGCTACAGGAACCCCTTCAGCCAAATGGGATTCCTGGAGCCCTACACCCCACGGCGCTCAGCTTCAGCCAATCAGACACAGTGCTGCTGCCAGGCTTCCAGGGACAGCAGCCCCAGCCCTCGAGAAGCCCAGCTCAGCGTGGGCAGAAAAGGACTCCCAGCATGCTAGGATGCTGCACCCAGGGTTCGGGACTCCTCAGAGCTCAGACCAGTTTAGAACAGGACCCTTAAAAACAAAATTACAATCAAAAGAGCCTTGGACCATGCATTGCTTTGTAGGGGCATAACTTCAGGTCATGGCAAAGTGAGGGCAGTGAGGTCAGAGAACAAGGGTCAGATCCTGCCTCTGCTCCTTTTGTGCTGTGAGCCCCCAGGCAAGTTGCCACACCCCTCTGGCCTCAATCGTCTCATCTTTAAAATGGGGAATAAAGTACCTACCTTGAAGGACCATCTGAGGATGAAATGAGACTATATCTGCAAAGGGGCTCACGGTAGGCTGGTTCCCAGGGCTGGGACCTGGGTGAGGGAGTGGCACCTTCCTCTCAGAGGAACAACGTAAAGGGGGTGCAAAAAAAATCACCAATCAGGACAAATAATACTACTTTAATGCAATGTTAAAAATAAAAATCAATGCAAAAAAAGTCCATGATGAAGAAAATATTAAATAAAGACAGAATCTGACCCTGAACTTGCCATTTCTGCCTAACTGCCTGCCCCTCATCTAAGCCCTACCAGTTCCCACCACCATCCTGCCCCCACTCCCTCCAGTCCTAATTCAAAGAAGAAAAAGAAGCTGTCCAAGGTGGGGCTGCTGAAGCCTGAGGCCTGCTCTGTCCCTGTGCCACCCTCCCGTTCACAGGGCTGGCTGGTCCTGGGATGAGGATTTTGAGCCCTTTCAGCTTCCTCAGCTGCAGGCATGCCAGACAGAATCCTAACGGTGCAAGGGAAGTCACACCAAGGAACAAAACCTCACTGCGGGGCAGCAAAGAGAAACACAGGACCCGCTTGGTTCAGTTAAGAGGGGTGCGTGCGTACATGTGTGTCAGTGCATGCCTGGACATGGGTTCACACCCATGGTAGGCCTGCTGCAGCCTAAGCCTGCAGACCCTCCATCCAGGCTACAAGTTCTGTAGAGCAGCGTGTTCCCCGTGGGACCAAGGGTCATCCCCCCATGACTGGGAACCCTCTAGCTGGTCCTGGGCACGCACGCCAGCAGCTCATTCTGCAGAACCAGCCCCCATCATCTAGGCGCCGAGTGAATGCCTAGAACACTCAGGCCATTGTTCACGTCAACAAAAATGCCTACAGGAAGAAGAAGAGGGGAATAATGCCAGGCAAACTGCTGTGGGCCTGGCCAGGTGTGGTCTGAATTCCTGAGATGTCCCTAAATGCTCCTTCGGAGGGCCTCCTTCTTGGGCCTGTCTCCTCCCTCACTTGGGAGGAGAGCAAGGACTGTCTGTGTGCAACCCACGAATCCTCCCACCCACCCCTAACACAGGGGCATGCCACCACACAGACCCATGGTTAAAGGGAGATTTTGTATAACTTCCAAAATCCATTGAAGAGCAGCAGCTTCCCAAACCAGGAGGGCGTCCAAGGGAGAAGAATGAAGATTCAGTCATTTCCCAAACATGACAGGGCCATGAGCTTAGTAGGTCCTTTAACGAGGTACACGCAGGATGTACACGCAGAAAAAGTAAATGAGCACAGAACCCCTGATGGGGATGTGCAGGGTCCCAACTCCAGGTGACAGAAGGCTGAAGAGTTGTTCCAAGGCCCTGACCTGCCTGCTAGGCCAGTCCCCGCAGCCAAGTGGGTCGTCCAGGCAACTCAGTATGGAAGGAATGATGGCCGGACCAGGCCTATGGAGCTGGCACAAACGGGCAGGACTGTGGCAGTGGGGAGCAGTCAGGAGTTCCGGGGTGTGGGGAGATCGATGACTATGGGCGGGTTCACGGGCTGGTAGTTCACAGTGCATACGGACGCGTTCACATAGGTGGTCGTCCCATCTGCCATGACACCATACCCTGGAAAATAAGCACACGCCCATCAGGTCAGCAGCCAGAGCAGTGAGGATGGTCAGGTGGATGTGGCAGTCATAGGGCACTCAGCCCCCATGGGCTGAATGTCTTTGGGGCAAGCTAGTAAACTCTCAAGGTCAATCCCTTCATCTGTAAAATGGAGATGATAATGATACATGCCACTTCCAAGCTTGCTGTGAGGATTATATGAGAAAATTATCTATGTACTGTGCTCGGCCCAGTGCCTGGCACATGAGAAGCACACAGTGAGTCATCATCATCGACATCATCTTCACCACCATCCTCATCACCATCACCACCACCACTGCATCACCATCATCACCATCAACATCATCATCACCACCATGCTTATCGTGATCATCACTATTTTCACCACCACTACCATAATCATCATCACTAATGCCATCATCATCACTATCATGATCAACATCATCATCACCAATGCCCTTATCATCATCTTCACCATTACCGCCACCACCATTACCGTCACCATCATCATCATCACTAGTGCCATCATCATCACTATCACCATGAACATCATCAGCACTCTCCTTATCATCACCATTATCACCACCACCGCCGCCATCACCAACATCATCAAAAATGCCATCATCATATCACCATCAACATCATCATAACCACCCTTATCATCACCACCACCATCATCATCTTCACTAATGCCATCATCACTACAATCACCACGACCATCATCCCCATCACCACCGCCATCACCATCATCAAAAATGCCATCATCATATCACCATCAACATCATCATAACTACCCTTATCATCATCACCACCACCACCATCATCATCTTCACTAATGCCATCATCACTACAATCACCACCGCCATCATACCCATCACCACCACCATCAACATCATCATAACCAATGCCATCATCATCACTATCACAATCAACATCATCACCACCGCTCCTATCATTATCATCATCATTATCATCACCACCATCACCATCATTATCACCAATGCTATCATCATCACTGCTCTTATCATTATTGACATCACCATTATCACTGCCACCATCATCACCACCATCCCTAGTGCCATCAACATCACCAACATACCACCACCATCACCATCATCATCACCAATGCCATCATCGTCACTATCACCATCAACATCATCATCACTACCACCATCACCAAGAATGTTGTCATCACCAATGCCACCATGATCATCACTACCCTTATCATTATCATCACCATTATCGCCACCATACCACCATCATCATTATCATCATCATCAGTATTGATGATGTCATCATTGATGCCATCATGATCATCACCACCAACACCACTGTCATTATTATCACCCTCATTATTGTATAAGCACCATCATCATCACCACAATCACCATCATCATCACCATTGTCATCATCATCACCACCACTATATTTATCATTATCATCACCATTGTCACCACTATCACCATCATCATCAGTATCATCATCATCATTGACATGATTACTGTCACCATTATCACTACCAATACCACTGTGATCATGGTCATCATCTGTCATTATTGCCACCACCATCATCATCATTGCTACTATCACTACCATCCTCTCACCATCATCACCATCATTATCATCATTGTCAGGTACTTTCTCTGCCTCCACCATACCCTCTTCCCACCATCTTTATTTGTTAGAATCCCCCTCATCCTTCAGCTCAGGTCATCTCCAAGATAGAAGGAACATTTCCCCTTCCCTGTGTGGTGCTGGAGGAGGGAGTGGTGAGTGGGTAGGTGAGGACCTATTCTTTGGAGTCCAACTGTGCCTGTCCAATTGTGTGGGGGTGTGGTTTGGGTCACAGGCAAATTTGGATCTGATGGAGCTACATGCCCATAGTAGGGCCGCAGAAAATGACAGCCATTATTATTATCCCACAGCACGTGAGCTGCCCATCTCTCCCAGGACCTCTCACATCTGGCTTTGATGACTCGTCTGTGCCCAGGGCTCCTCCAGGAGCTACTCCCAGGCCAGGCGAGGTCTGCTCACTCCTGCCCCTTGAAAATGAGCTGCAGAGGCCCTCAGGGAATGAATGGTTTGAGGCTTGCTTGCTTTTGAACTGAAAAACGATCTGATGTGGACTAGACAATGTGGACGCCTGAGGTCCCTGGTCCAACCAGACAGAGGTTCAGGAGGCCGAGAGATGCCTCTGGGGGAAACTACATGAGTCCAGACATCCCACAGCAGCCAACATGCTTCCTGGCAGGGATGTGACAGAGAGGCCTCAGGCAGGTGGGATAAATATCCAAAAGGAGCAAAAAGAGGCATCTGTGCCAAACTGGTGAAATGAGGCTCAGGTGAGGATGGCTGAGGTCTACTAGGGAACACCTGCACACAGCAACAGGCCAGGGCGTGGCCGTGTGGATGACAGACCTAGAGCTGACATCACCCTCACCATCACACGTAGTCCCTCCACACTTATTAAGCACCTATTGTATGCCAGGCCCAGGGGACAGAAGCAACAAGACAGAGCCACCAGTTTTAAGGGATTCATAGTGTGCTCACCAAATATAATTCATCCTCCATGTCGTGGCCCCAACGCCCCCTCCTCTGAAAACCCCTGCCCTCCTCCTGATGACTTCCCAGGCTGGAGGCACAGCAGAGTTGCAGGGCTCCCCGGAAGCAAAATTTACCCGCTAAGTCATGCAGGATTTTGTGATCATCTTCCTATTATTAAACATTTAGCAATAGCTCATTGACAGCCAGGGTGTATATGGCAGTTAGCAGTTACAAAGCGAACAGCAGGAATGGGCTATTTACTTCCCTTCTGGCTGAACGGAGGGGAGGCCCCGCTGGAGGGTCCATTAGGAGCCCCTAGCCCGTGAGGTCCCCATCTCCACCACGTACTGACCTTCGTGGATGTGGCCAAAGACGTGTAGCCGCGGCTGGACGCGCCTCTGCACCGTGTTCAGCAGCTCCACGCAGCCCACCCGCTGCATCTTCTTGGGGACCCAGTCCAGGAAGCCTGGTGTGGGGGAGACAACAGGAGGCCATGACAGGGTCTGTCCCAGCCCCTCACCACCCCACGCCCGGCAGCAGCTTCTGCAGCCTGCAAGAGGCATGGGGCTCCTGGACTACGGCTTTGCACTATTCTCCCCGAGCAAGCTCCCCGGAACCCTGCCTGGCCTCAGCCTTCAGGGACAGAAACCATCCAGGACCTTGCAGCCTCAGCCTCCTCGTCCATAGGGCTGCACTGAGGGCCTCCTTGAAAGAGCTTAGTGTGGGCCAGGCACTTGGGGCGGGGTACTCAGTAGCTGCTAGCGCCCCCCTCCCCCAACCATCTGTGCTCAAGTGGCCTCGAGGGTGGCATCTGCCCACTGCAGAGATCAGCAAACGGAGGCCAGAGAGGGACGGGTGAGTCCCAAGGGCGGGCACCCTGGTGGTCAGTGGCAGAGCGGGGCGTCCTGACACACAGCCCAGGAGTGAGATTTCCATGTCAGAAACTTCCTAAAAAGCACAGACTCATGAGCAGAAACTTCCTCCGTGGGGGCAGCATCGCTCACGTGGCTGCGCCTGCGCCTGCCCCCGCTGCCAGCCTCCTGGAGCCGCCCAGATGGTGGCTGCTTATTATCCTCACATGGCTACACAAACGGAGAATAACTGATTACTCCAAGCGAACAGTTCGGGTTCGCGGCGGCCCCTCTCTGTCTGGGGGAGCAGAACAGGTTTCCGCAACTGCCAGAAAGGGAGCAGGGGAGCTTCCACTCAAAGGCCCAAGTGAGCGGCAACAGGCGTTAAGAGAAGACACAGACGGAGACAGAGGCAAAGACGAGGGAGGAGGAGGAGGAGGAGAAGTAGGGGAAAGCAGAGAAAAGAGGCAGGGAATGCGCTGGACACAGGCTGGGGGCAGACACTGGGGTGAAGTCCCAGGCTCTGCTGCCTACTGGCTGTGTGACCTTGGACAAGTCACTTAACCTCTCTGTACCTCCATATCATCCAACAGAGTGCTTGGGCTGGGCACTGGGATCCCACCATGCATGAGGCCAGACCCTTCCTCAATTCTGGAGTGTGTGTTGTGGGGAGGGTCTCCAGCACCTCGGTGCCCTGGCGCACACAGTCTGGAGACAATGCAAGGGCAGCACCAGCTGGAGCGCCTGGCACACGGGCAGCCCTGAGACAGGAGTCGGGAGGTGTGTGAAGGGCCTAGGTGGGGCGTCCAGAGAGCAGGAAGCCAAACACCATGTTTGGAGAGATGGATGAATGGAAAGGAGAGAGGGAGAGACAGAAGGAAGAGGGAGGAGGGGAGGAAAGAAGGAAGAGGGGAGAAGAAAAAGGAGGAAAAAAAGGAGATAGGGAAAGGAGGGAGAAGGGGAGGGAGCAAGGGAACGAAAAGAGAAGGAAGAGAACAAGACACTTTTGCTGCTGAGCCTGTCAGTGACCGATGACACTGAATGTTGACCAGAACCGTCCCAAGGCTCAGGTGGCTTCCGGTGGGGGTGATACAAACCCAGCTACAACCTCACTGTGCTGCTTAAATCACACCAGGGCCCAGGCCTCCGCTTCCACCTGTGAGGGTGAGGCTGACAAAACCTTCCTTTCCTGGACTTTGTGAGGAGGCAGAGGGGCCGTGGGGCACTGGCTGGGGCGGGGCACAAAGTGGTATCAGGAGTTTCTTCCTGAACTGGTGTGTGAGCCAGTGACACTCAAGCTGTCCTGTGCCTCACCCCACAGCCTCCCCCATGGCTTCTGCCGGGGACACCCTTCCCTCCCCTTCTCTACCTCCCCAGACCCAATTCTGGGATCACAGCTTGTGCAAGCTCCCCAGGCAGCCTAACAGCAGTCATCTCTCCTGACTCCTCAAGCTTCCCTCACCCCTGAATGTGTCCCACGGGGCGTGGCTGTTCCTAAACCCTCCACCCTGCAGCCTGGGGGCCCCCTCAACCCAGGCACACACTGAAGGGGTTACCCTGGACCAGTGTCGCCCAGCACAGGGGCTGGTCCCAAGCACTGAGGGAGTGATGGTGGGTTTCTGGAGGTGGTGGTGGGAGCAAGACACTGATATGGGCCGAACTGCTGGGAGATTGAACTTCATTCAGCGGCCTGAGGGAGCCACAGAGGGCCACAGAGGGATGGCATTGCATACATAAGGATACAGAGAACTCCCTCCTGCTGATGTAAAGTGAGTGGACTGGAAGGGACAAGAGCTTCACCTCCACCATTTTCATTACCACCTCCATCACCACCTTCACCACCACCTCCACCACTACCTCCGTCACCACCACCACCCCCCCCCATCGCCACCAGCACCACCTCCA